TACCAGCTATCTGACTTTGGACATCTTGGAAAACTGTTTTGGGTTTCATTAAGGTGCTGATTTTTAAAGTGGAAAAAAAGAATGCTTTCCTTTTTGACTTTAAAGTATTTTTTATAATAAGAAATAAGATAAAGAATGTAAAAATGACATTTAAGCTATAAAAAACTATCAACTATTATTAAAATAGTCCAATACATAGGCCACATGTATTATTGGTTATATTTAATTCTGTGTGGTGATAAATTCTATCTTCTCTATATTTTTAAAATACCCAAGACTAGATTGAACCACAATACCTTTTGGCCCTATTATTTTTAGCTCCAGAAGTGTGTTGATTTGGAAGCAAATCAGTCTGATGCTTATTAGATCTCAGCGACTGCTTGCTGTATTAAAGTGGCTTGGGATAAAACTTGATTAATAATACTCAAGATTACTCTTGACCTATGTCCTGAATGGTTTTGCCTAGATTTTCTTCTAGGGTTTTGATGGTGCTAGGTCTGATGTTTAAGTCTTTAATCCATCTGGAGTTAATTTTGGTGTAAGGTGTCAGGAAGGGGTCCTGTTTCTGCTTTCTGCACATGGCTAGCCAGTTTTCCCAACACCATTTATTAAACAGGGAGTCCTTTCCCCATTGCTTGTTTTTGTCAGGTTTGTCGAAGATCAGATGGTTGTGGGTATGTTGTATTTCCTCTGAGACCTCTGTTACCACCTCTTTCCCAGAAAGTTCTGTATAACCTGCCCCTCAATTTGCATTCACTCACCTCTTGATTTGCATGTAATCGAAAGTGCACATATGTGGCTGTAGAGTTTCCAACAGCCAACAAGCACAGCTCATGGCTCCAGGCACAATGTCTATGAGTTCTGCTCTGCAAGGAACAGCTCCAGTTCAATAAAAGATTACTATCCAACAAAAAAAAAAAAAGATTACTCTTCCTCTCAAGAAACAGAAAATGATAATTTTCAGAGACTGCACATTTGGAGACAATGTCTTGCCTCTTTATCACAAGCTTGGACCAAATTTTCACAGACTTTATGGTCAGAGAGCACAGATGCACAGACATTATGAGGGCAAATAAGTGTCTTTCACTGAAGAGAGCCTTTAGTGTCTCTCAATAAACTGCCTCAGTAAATTAGTTTATTAACATTAATCTATAGATTCCTACATGAGATCAACAAACTGACTTTCTAAAAAACAGAAAGAATCAAGTTTGGTCTACATGCCTCTAAATGATAAATTTTACTATCTTTTAGTTACTGAAGTAACCAGTTTTGGGGTGTCAGATAACTTCAGTCAGAATATAAATTTGGTAGATCAAAGATCAGGCTCTTGATAAAGTAGGATAAACAAAGATAAAAGCTTTTTAAAAAGAGTTCATTATATCCCAAAGATACCTGATACCTGCATTCATATGTTTTTGACAGCACTATTTACAATAGCAAAGATATGGTATCACCTTAAGGGTCCATAACCATCAATGGATGACTGGATCAAAAAATGTGAGGGGGGTGTGTGTGTGTGTGTGTGTGCACGCGCGTGTGTGTGTGTGTACATACTGTGGAATATTACTTAGCCATAAAAAGAATGGACTCATTTTTTTCAGTAACACGGAGGCAGCTGGAGGCCATTATCTTAACTGAAACAACTCAGAAATAGACAGTCGAATTCTGTATATTCTCACTTGTGAGTGAGACCTAAATAATGTGTACACGTGAACATAGAGTGTGGAATAATAGACAATGGAGACTCACAAGAGTGGCAGGTGGGCAGGGAGTGAGGGATGAGAAATTACTTACTGAATACCATGTGTCTTATTCAGATGATGGACATACTAAAAGCCCAGACTTCATCACTGTGCAATATATCCATATGTCAAAGCTGCATTTGTACCCCCAAAATTTATACAAACAATTTTAAAAAGCAAGTTTCTAATCCTAATGCAATTCTACACCTGCATATTTCCTTTGCTGTGAAAGTGAGTGTTGAGAGACTGTAACAATATGTGTCTAACTAGAAGGATCTTTGGTATATTTCAGATTAGTGCTGAGTTATATTTCAACACTTTGAGGAGTGCGAAAGAGAATCTCTGCTGACTTCTTTTCTTGTTTTGGAGCAAAGCTCCTCTTAAGTTATTGCTGATGTATGAATGACAGTTGATGGTTAGTTGTCTATATAGCAGACCTGTCTTGACTGATACCAGAAGAAAATATTCTCCAAACATTTTGGGGAACCAATGGATGCATTGTTTTTTTTTTTTTGTTTGTTTGTTTGTCTTTTTGTCACATTGCCAGGCTGCTAATTTCCCAAACTTTTATGCTCTGTTTCCCTTTTAAAACTGCAGGCCTTTAACATCTTCCAAGTCACCTCTTGAATGCTTTGCTGCTTAGAAATTTCTTCTGCCAGATACCCTAAATCATCTCTCTGAAGTTCAAAGTTCCACAAATCTCCAAGACAGGGGCAAAATGCTGCCAGTCTCTTTGCTAAAACGTAACAAGTGTCACCTTTGTTCCAGTTCTCAACAAATTTCTCATCTCCATCTGAGACTGCCTCAGCCTGAATTTCATTGTCCATATGGTTATCAGCATTTTGGTTAAAGCCATTCAACAAGTCCCTAGGGAGTTCCAAACTTTCCCACATTTCCTGTCTTCTTCTGAGCCCGCCAAACTGTTCCAACTTCTGCCTGTTACCCAGTTCCAAAGTCACTTCAATATTTTGGGGTATCTTTTCAGCAGTGCCCCACTCTATTGGTACCAATTTAATGTATTAATCCATTTTCATGCTGCTGATAAAGACATACCTGAGACTAGGCAATTTACAAAAGAAAGAGGTTTAATTGAACTCACAGTTCCACATGGCTAAGGTGGAAGGCAAGGAGGAGCAAGTCACATCTTATGTGGATGACAGCAGGCAAAGAGAGAGCTTGTGCAGAGAAACTCCCAGTTTTAAAACTATCATATCTTGCAATACCCATTTACTGTCACGAGAACAGCATGGGAAAGACCTACTCTCATGATTCCATCATCTCCTGCTGGGTTTCTCCCATAACACATAGGAATTATGGCAGCTACAAGATGAGATTTGGGTGAGGACACAGAGCCAAACCATATCAATCACCTAGAAAACAAATACAAGAATAGAGAGAAAATAACTCATTGGTGAAAAAAGAATTCCTGAGAGGAACTGGGAAATAGTTTAGCTGAATGTAAAGAAAAACACTGCAGTACATGAAATTTTATGGGCAGCTGTAAAACAGTACAACTACTTTGAGGAAAACAGCTTATTCGTTTCTTAAGAACTTTGATGTTATCTTACCTTATTGTTACGGGATATTTGGGGTGTTGCTTTTCTGGCCAGAAACCTATGGGGCCAGTGGTGTCTTTGCCTGAGGTTCACTCTGGCCTGCTGGGCTTGTTCTACTCACTCAGCCTGGCAGGTGTGCTTGCTCATGGTACTGGCCTGGATTCTATGCCTGCCAAGGATGAGTCAGGTGTGGACCAGTGAGGGTTGTTTGTGAGGCAGCCTGGGGTCTGGCTACTGTGTAGTCAGACATGCCAGCAGGGAGGGGCAGCTCCAGGTGCCCGTAGGGGTGGTGGGTCTCTGCCAGGCTGCAGCTGGACCAGGCACACCATGAGGCTGCAGGGAATACGATGGCACCTCAAAGTTTGCAGTCACCAGGAAGCACAGGGACTCAAAGAGGGAGTCACAGCCCTGGCTTGGGGGAGTCACAGCCCTGGCTTGGAGAACTCCCAGGTCTGGGCTTCCTGAAGGACCGCAACTCTCTCTCTTTCTCTTCACCTACAGGGTGGCAAGCAAGGAGCATGTCTCAGCAGCATGTTACAGCTCTTTTAGCCTGACCATTCAGCAGGCCCTGATTTTTTGTCCTGCAACCAGGATGAATGAGGTATGCAGGCAAACAGCAGATGAGCGAGATGAAGAGGAGCTTTATTGAGGGACAGAACAGCTCAGAGGAGACCCACAGGAGGTAGATCCTTTTTGCAGCCAGGGTATTCTAACGAATGTTCAGCTCCTAGCAGAGAGTAGCTTCTCTCTGCTGGGCAGGTCATCTTGATGAGTGTTCAACTCTCAGCAGAGAGGGTAGCTCCTCTTTGCAGGCAGGTCATCCCCAAAAATATTCACTTCTCAGCAGAGGGTAGCTCCTCTCTGTAGCTTGTCCACCAGTGGTCGGCAGCTCTCCGCTGGCTGAGCCAGCTTTCATGGGCCTCAGAGGGGAGGAAGTGTGTGCTGATTTGTCCATGGCTGGCCATGGGCAGGTCCAGAAAAGGCACAAGTTTCCACTCTGGTGGGACTGGCAGCCCGGCCCCCAGCCTTCAGGCTCTCCCTCCACTGGATATCCGCCCCCTTCCACCCAGGAGCCTGTCCGCCTCCTGCCTCTGTCCAAGGCTCCCAGGCTATCAAGGGACACCTGCAGGCCAGTGCCAAGACACCCTCAGCCCCCATCTGGGCATCTCCCAATGCTTGTGGTGTTCAAGGTCCAGAAGGGGCCGAGGTGGCAGGGGACTGGCATGTCAGCACTGCCCTGAGTGTGCACACACCCGGCCAGGCTGTGTCAGTGCTGGGGCTCAGCTTCAACCCTGTTCCAAGATCCAAGCAGGCACTGGGAGTGGGGAGAGGCTAGGCAACGGGAGCAGACAACCATGAGCCTTCAAGGGCACGGGGAGCCTTCCTGGGCCCCCAAAGGCGCAGAGTGCAGAGACTCCTGGGTCCTACACCTGAAAGGGTGGGGCTCCCACCTGCTTGGTGGAGCATTCAGGCAGCTCTGGCCAAGTCTCAGCGCATCCTGCGGCAGGGGCTGCAAGGCCCTCACTGCACCCAGGTGGCATCTGGGGCAGGAGGGATGTCGCCACAACTTCTTCCTGTGTCCCCGCCACTCAGGGGTGGTCCTGGGCTTCCCCTCACCCTGCTCGCAGCCCTGTCCAGTGGGGATGCCTCTGGAGTAGATTGATGGCCCCAGGTCCAGGCTCGGCGATCACTGATCACTCCGATGCCTGGCAGACCTAAGAACGCGCCCCGGGCAGCCCCACGCACAGCCTTCCCCCAGGAGCAGGAACCCGGCGCCATCGGCGGGGTGGGCTTGGTGGCCTTGCCACTGGCTGGGTCCCCGAAGCGGGTGCCTCTCCCACTTCCTGTCCGGAGTCCCGAAGCCGGGCCCCAGCTCCGCGTCCGGGTCCTGGCCCTCGCACTCCACGTACAAGTGCCCACCGCCCAGGCCCCGCTCACCGAGGAGGCCCCTCGAGGCCCGCCGCTCCGTGCCCGACTGCCCCGCTACCCCGCTGGCAGGGGGCTCAGCCAGGGCGGCGGGCTCCGGAGACTGCCCGCTCCCTACACCCTCCCCGCAGCGGCGGCGGGCGACAACGGTGACACGTGGCGGGGGTCCGGAGGGGAGAAGGCTCCCGGCCTGGGCGTGGTGGGGGCTCCCGCCGGGCGGATCCACTCTGCCGCACAGGGGTGGGGGCGGTGCAGTCAGCTGCCTTGGGGACGCGGGGCACAGGGGACGCAGGGCACAGGGGTCCCGCTGCCGCCAGCGCTGCTCCTGCAGCCTTTCCTTTATTTTTATTTATTTATTTTTAATATAAAGACGAGGTTTCACCATGTTGGTCAGGCTGGTCTTGAACTCCCTACCTCAGGCGATCCGCCCGCCTTGGCCTCCAAAGTGCTTGGATTACAGGCGTGAGTCACCGCGCCCGGCCTCCTGCAGCCGTTCCTGCAGCCACCGCTTGTGCTTCCCCCCTGCAGCGCGGTGGCAGCGGCTGCCTCCATCAAAATGACCCGGTAATGCCACTTCCAGGTGTCTAGAAGAGAAATGAAAGTACTTTTTCACAAAGAGACAATAAGGTATGTGTGTACCTAAGCAACAATCTTGCATGTTCTTCACATGTACCCCAAAACCTAAAATGCAATAAGTAAATAAATAAATAAAAAAGACAGTAAGGTTTCTAGCAGCATTACTTATAGTAGCCCAAAATTGGAAACAAATGTACAGCAACAGTTAACTAGGTAAACAAATCTAGCATACTCTGACAATGAGACATTTGGCAAGGACAGAACTACTGATACATGCCATAAAAATGATGAGCCTCAGATACATGCTAAATTAAGGAAGCCATATGCAAAATAGGAAATATTGTATGATTGTATAAAATGTCGCCAAAAGGCGAATCTATAGAGAGATGGTAGATCAGTGGTGACCTGGGTATAAGGTCAAAAAGGGTATTAACTCAAAAGGAATATGGGGAACGTTTAGGTGTATTGATAGAAATGTTTTAAAATTAAATTTTTGTGATGGCTGCACTTTATAAATTTACTAGAATTTATAAATTAATGTGCACTGCACATTAAATTGTGCAGTGCAGTGGGTGAATTTTATGGTATGTAAATTCTACCTCAATAAAGCTGTAAAAAAGAAACCAGTAAGGGGTAGTGGTTGAGGCAGAAGAGGTGAAACAAAATTGACATTTTTTTCTACAATTGTTGAAGCTGGCTCGTTTACAACAGGGGCCCATTTCTACATTTATGTATGCCTGAGTATTTTCATAATGAAAAAGTTTATTAGAATTTAATATTAAAACAAAATTGATAAAACAAAAGCCTTGGCCATAGTGGCTCACACCTGTCATCTCAGCACTTTGGTAAGTTAAGGCAGAGGAATTGCTTGAGCCCAGGAGTTCAAGACCAGCCTGGCAACATAGTGAAAGCCCATCTCTATATTTAATAATAATAAAAATAAAAAAAAGGCATGATGGCACACACCTGTGATCCCAGCTACTTAGGAGGCTGAGACAGAGGATCAGTGGGCTCAGGTGTTAGAGGCGGCAGTGAGCTGTAATCGCACCACTGCACTCCAGCCTAGGTGACAGAGTAAGATCCTGTCTCAAACACAAACAACAACAAAAACACATAAGCCTGACTTTCCACACTTCTGCTGTCTAAACTGTAACTACCTCTCTTTAAAGTGGCACAATGTCAGTCCTCAGGTGTCTCATTAGATAAATCAACCAGGAATTAACAAACCCAATTCAATTTCACAAATTTTGATTGAGCATTATTGATATGCAGGGTTTTGTCTTGATGCTTTACACATTTGTATTTCTTAGTTTCTTCATTGGTTGGAGATGAAATTCATATTTGTGTCGTCTTTCTTTTTTTTTTTTTTTTTGAGATGGAGTCTCACTTTGTTGCTCAGGCTGGAGTGCAGTGGCGTGATCTTGGGTCACTGCAACCTTTGCCTCCCAGGTGCAAATGATTCTGCTGCCTCAGCCTCCTGAGTAGCTGGGACTACAGGTGCTCCCCACCATGCTTGGCTAATTTTCTGTGTTTTCAGTAGAAACAGGATTTCACCGTGTTAGCCAGGACAATGGCGATCTCCTGACCATGTAATCCACCTGCCTCGGCCTCCCAAAGTGCTGGGATTACAGGTATGAGCTACTGGCGCCCAGCCGGTTGCTTTTAATTTGGTGATTTTTTACTCTTTTTCTCTGAACTTCTATTACAGTCAATAGTATGAATTTAGAAACATTCTGTTCTATTTCTCTCTCTCTAGGTTATTTACCCTTTCCATATTTTGTCTGTAAATGATAGAAAATTTTACTTCCGTAATTCAAAACATCTAATGACAAAGTAAAATACTTTGTGATCTGGTAAGATAATTGGGTTTTGGAAAAAGTAATGAGCTCCCTCAGGTGATGTCAGTAGAGGCAATAATTCAATGCTACACTCTGAGAGACAAGGTCTCACTTTGCAAAGCTAAGTTACTCTATCTTAAGATAACCTGGGTGAATTCTGCTCATCAAAGGGCAGTGCACTCACTGAAGTAGCCAGTCATAATTCTGGCTTCACCTATTTAAAAATCTCAAATGGAATAGAATAAATGAGAAATGGTTTTACAATGTTTTATATTACCTGCTTCCCATAAAAAGAGAATCACTATAAGAAGACATTGGGATTGCAGGCATAGACTTCATAATGTATTTGGAGAAAGTGGTTTGAACCCAGGAAAGACTAAATTATTTCTCTCAACAGTCTGTATTGATTACCTGGCCCCAAATAGTTGTAACTTCTGGAATTTAGGTACAATGTCAGAAAAATCAATATAAATTAAACCTACTAACTCTCTATAAAAGATAAAATTATGAAAGCTTCCAAAAGCTTATAAAAGGCTGGGGAGAATGTCTGAAATATTTATCAAAAAACGCTCAGGTGTTCCTGAAATTCTCACCCCTCTTTCAGTACCTGTCAAGGAACAGGAGCTTAGAACTGAATGTTGAATTTATCAGCTTTAACAATGACTAATGTAAGATAAACTGCTAACCTATTAATGATGTTATGCCTCAGACTATAACAATATATGGGTATTGTGATACGTTTAATTAAGGGCAAAGAAAATTAAAGAGTGTATGTGTGTGCATGTATGTGTGTGTGTGTGTGTGTGTGTGTGTGTGTGTGTATCTAGTGACTAAAAATATACACCATCCCTAAGAGATACAATAATTTATGTTACTAGAAAAGTGGACTACATAGTCAAGTAGGAAAAATATTCAGGTTACCTCACAACCTACATGAAATGTCCTCCAAGACTCTCTTAGTCTCTGCTTTGTTTCACCAAATAACCATCTGATTATTTAATTTGTATGGAAAAACCCTCTAACTTAGAAGGTGCCAGGCAACATGCACAATTACATTGGTCATTGAAAAGAGAGCCCCCATTAAAAATTAAAATTGAAATTCTGCTTTGTAGATCAGTGTTTAGTCTCAATTTATCTAGCATTAGTTGAGTGGCCTTGAGAAAATCAATTCTCTGTGAAGAAAATCAATTTTTTCTCCTGTACAATTACAACATGAGATTCGGTCAGCATTCCCACAACTGTCCCTCTCAGAACAAAACTCAGCAAAATGCCCAATCTATTAGAACAACTGGACATCCACCTGTAGTAGTATGACTGTTCTGTAACTATTTTGCATGATATTGTAATGGTAGATACATGTTACTATGTAATTGACAGAACACATAAAATGTGCAACCCAAAGAGTGAACCCTAATGTAAACTATGAAATTTTAGTTAATAATAATGCATCAATCTTGGCTCATCAATTGTAACAAATGTACCACACTCATGCAAAATGTTAATAATGGGGGAAGCTAGGTGTGGTGGAAGGTTAAGAAGATATATGAGGCTGGACGAGGTGGCTCAAGCCTCTAATCCCAGTACTTTGGGAGGCCAAGGTAGACAGATCATTTGAGGTCAGGAGTTAAAGACCAGCCTGACCAACATGGTGAAACCCTGTCTCTACTGAAAATACAAAAATTCATCAGGTGTGGTTGTGCATGCTTGTAATCCCAGCTACTCCAGAGGCTGAGGCAGGAGAATCACTTGAACCTGGGAGGTGGAGGAGGTTGCAGTGAGCCTGGGTATCAGAATGAGACTCCATCTCAAAAAATATATAAATAAATAAAAATAAATCAATAAATTTGACACCTGCTTCCTCACCTTTCCCCCAGTCTCCTGTACAATAGAGAGGTTTAGGGATCCGCTATGGAGCTTTGCAAATTGGAGTCTGATGAGGGCTGAGAGGAAGAGAAAAGGAGACACTCACAGTTATGTACCTGTTGCACCAAAAGCTGTGCTTGTTGTTCATTGAATACTTATAACATTGCCATTTCACAAAGGAGATAACTGAAGCTCACGAAATTGACTTAACTTTTTGGCAGAACTACAGTTTGAACATAACTGTAGTTGATTCCCAAACCTGTTTCTTCCCTCCCTATCTCAGTGCCTCATTAGAACATTTAATTCTAATATATAGACATGTGGTCCAAAGTATAAAGAAGCAAATATAATTAAACTTGTGTTTCACGTTATTTTTGTTACCACTTAGTAAATGAGAATACATATTGAACATATTCTTTCCTTTCCTCATTCATTTACTCAACAAATATCTATTGAGTAACTACTAACTAAATGTCAGGCGTTTTTCTAAGCATTTGGAATACATCAATGAAAAACATGGTGGAAATCCCTACACCTGCAAAGCTCACATTCTACTGTGAGAGGAATAGAAAATAAGCAATAAACACAATAATAAAAAAGTAAATTGCATAGTATATTGAAAGATGATGAATGGACTGGAGAAAAGAGAGCAGAGAAGAATGTGGGTTAGGAGGTGATTCTATTTCTAAGAACAGTGGTGATT